GAAGACAATCTATTACACACAAATTTGTTTTGTTCTGATTTTAATTGAGCACATTAATTCCTAAGGTAAGAGATTTCAGTATGTATCCAGAATATTGGGCTGGGCACAATGGCACACTGATGTAATCCCAGTACTCTACATAGAAGTAAGAGCCATGCCCGGCCAGCCAGGGCTACACTGCAGAAACCTGTCTAAAAAAACCAAAGAATACTACTGAGCTGAAAACATTCTATACAAAAAAGAATATGCACTGAACATATATAATGGCAAATTGTGAAACAAAGACTGTATCATCTATTCCCTTCTCTAATAGTCTTATTAGAAACCAGTCCACATTCCCTCCTAACCAAACAGACATCTTCCAAGTGTGAATCTACTTTCAAAGATACATTCATTTCTCAAGTTCCTAATCAGAAATGATACACAACTCAACAGTTTCTCCAACCTGAGCAATCTGACACAAAATAAGCAATACAATCCTAGAATCCAGAAAAAGAAGATGATTCCCATACAGACTGGGATGTAAACAAAATAGGAACGAAACAACACTAGTCCACGAAACATTCTCTGCAAAAGGAAAAAAAAAAAGATATTTAAAACATTAACACATCTTTTCTGTTTCATTATGAAAGACATTGTGCTTTTAGTCTTCATCTGATACTGTCAAAAATACTGCTTATATAAACTCATTAAAATCCAAACTATGAACATCAAAGTACATTATACTCAAGTGTGGAAATGTCATAATGAAACCTATTATTTTGAATAAACTTTTAAAAATCAGAAAGAAAAAAGAAAAAAACCAAAGTATGGCTTAAGAAAATGTATTTTAAAATATCCTCTTTGAAGAAAATTTGAAAATCTGCTTACAATAGCCAAACTAGAACCAGTCTGTACTGGCACATCAGCTCCAGATAAAATGCAAATCTATATCATAACCACATATTGTCCTAATCCAAGTACTGGAAGGAAGTGTTTGCCACCCTTTTAATAGCATTATCTAAAAATGTGTAGCCCACTGAAGGAGAGTCATCCGTTTAGGCATCCTAGCACACTAGTCAGCCAGCCCTCAGCATTGCTGAAACCTGTTAACAGTGCCAAACACAGACCCCTTGTGGTTCATCATTAAGTACAAACAATCTTAAACACTCTCAAACTGTAAAAGCTCAACAAAATAAGCAAAGTTATCTTCTATAGGAACACAAATTTCATTGTAAGCCAGAATTTTGAAATAACATTACTGGTACATGCTTATGGCAAAACTAAAAAATACTGCACATATATAAAATAATAAGTACATGGCAGAGTACCTGCTTTGTAAGCATGAAGCCAAGAATTCAAACCCCACTTCCACCAAAAAAAAAAAAAAAAAGTTAACTACAGAGTCAGGCTTTGTGGTTCATACCTATAATCCCAGCAATCTGGGAGGCTGAGGCAACAGGATCTGAATTTCAAGGCTAGCCTGGATTACATAGTGAAACCCTATCTCAAAAAAAAAAAAAGTAACTATAGAAGAAGCTATAAGCAGCAAGAAGAAATTAATACAAATCAACTACACTGATCTATGACTTGCCTATCACTACCCTTATAAAAAAACCTGTATGTTCCTTTACATAAATGGTCCCTTTTGTCAGTTGCAGATCCTATCCACTTTAAGATCATTATTTGTGGTGAGAGACAGCAAGAAAGGGGAGGGAAGGAGGAAGACAACCAGCCCATCACAGGATGTTGACAAGCATCACTACCAAAGTTTTAAAATATTGGTTACCATGCAGTACACCATCAAAATAATATACCAGGTTCCTCCAACACCAGGTTACTTTGGCTTTCGATTTTAACTCACCTAGCATGAGTCTAGTGTAACAAGCAACTCTCTTAAAAAGAAAACCTCTGCCACAATCTAAATGACCAGACAAAACAACTGTACAATCCCTACAGTTTCATTTGGGCAGATAACAGATTTGCTCTCTCTCCCACTATTAAAACTCTATGGACTCTGACACCAAGATACCAAGAATCAAGCAAAAAGATAACCTAATCCTCATAATATGCCTTGGGCTACATTGGTAGCTCTCTAGCTAATCACAGTTAGCAAAGAGAATTCCTCCCATCACCAGTGCATTCAAACTGGGCTGTTAATATCTTTCACTTATTCTAGTAACTTTTTTTAAGTATTTCTAACAGACTCATGAAATGTTTTAATTGATGTTCCCAAATGACATGTAAATGTTATCACTGTGCTCACTCCACATGCCAAAACACAGAGTCTACCTTATTTGTCTATTTTCCCAGTGTCAGGCATCCATAATACTAAAAATCTATAAAATCAAAGAAATCATATAACAACAAATTCCATGGAATAATCCCAAAACTTCATTGTTAACAGGATTATGTTAAATCTTGTACTGCTAAAAAGAAAGTATATTGTTTGCTTAAACTTCTAACCAGTGTTGTTATTAACAGAATTTAAACTATACTGGAAAAAAAGATCGATTTTGATAAAGTGATATCTACAATGAGTTCTGGAGTTTTGCCTTTCTCATGGTTCTGGGGATCAAATGCAGGGTCTTGCACATGTTAGGCAGGCACTAATGATAACTTCGTTTTCCTGTTTTGTTTTTTGCTTTTTTAACCAAGCAAAACAAAAGTTGCAGCCAGATGTGGGGGCAACTCATGTAATCCCAGCTACTTGAGAGGCTGAGGCAGCAGGATCACCAGTTTGAGGCTAGCCTGGGCAATTTAACAAGATCCTGTCAAAAAATAAAAATAAAAACAACTACTCTCAGTGGTAGAATACCTAACATGAGTGAGGCCCTGGGTTCCACCTCTAGTACATAAAATTAACCAATGAACAAATCACACCTGTAATCCTAGCTACTCAGGAGGCAGAGATCAGGAGGATCATGGTTTGAAGCCAGCCCCCGCAAATAGTCTGCAAGACCCTATCTCAAAATATCCAGCACAAAAAAGGGCTGGCAGAGTGGATCAAGTAGTAGAGCACCTGAGGCTCTTAGTTCAACCCCTACTACCACCACAACGAACAAAGTTTGAGAAGAAACTTTAGAGTCTAAATTAGGAAACAGGTGGGGCTCCAGTTTCAGAGTAATACAAATAAAATGCCTCCACTTTATTCATATGTTTGCATAATTACAAACCTAAGATGATATTTTACAAATAATTTGATTCTGTTTTTTGGCTATGCTAAGAAGTCTACTGTGAGTACAAAGTTAGGACTAATGGGCTGGAGGTGTGGCTCAAATGTCAGAGTGCCTGCATCAGGCCCTGAGTTCAAAACCCAGTACCACCAAGGGTTAAAAAAAAGTTAAGACTAGCAAATAACAAAATCTAATTTTTACAACTTCTACCAAGGGAAAAAAAAAAGTGAGGAACTCTCTTCCCAGTTTTCAAACCACAGTGTTCTCTACTACTTAAACCTATTCTTAGTGTTTCCCATTCTATTTTCAGACAGATAGCTTACTGTACTTGATTTCCAATTCTGATCTGTGCAGGTTTTCTACAGCCAAGTCTTATCTTCCCAAAGATTTGGAAAGTATAATCTTGCAACACTCTCTCCTGCCCTGCCACTAAAAGCAACGCTGAAAAGTCCTTTGTCAATTTGTTCCCGCCCCCCCCCCACCTCGAGTGTAATGTCTATTAGAATAAAACTGTTTCTCTTTTGTTGAACACTACAGAACATATTCTAAATAAGTGACAAATTGAATGAATGATTTGGAGGGCAATGGCCTTCTACTTCCTATCCTAGCTAAGCAGACAACATCTGAGAACACATCCTAGTTTCTGCCCAGCTTCATGAACTCAGATGCTCTTTAATGCTCAACAAACTCTAAGGTCCAAAGCAGGCAACAATGTATTTGAGCTGCACCATTAGGGAAGATGCTATTAACAGTTTATTCAAAGGCCACACAAAGCATTACAGAAGATTCCTTAGGAGTTTCCAGTATTCCATTAACCATCACTGTGAAGGAACTTCCCAGTAACCACTGTTAAGTGACTTCACTATCTGGAGACTTAGTTTATCACTATGTTTAAAGGTACGCTTATAAACAAACATAACTCTAACTGTCCAAGGCCTAGACAATAATATTGAAATTAAGGGAAGGGGACTGGGGGGGAAGAGTAAGGAAAACTAGAATTAAAAAGTCAATGAAAAGCCATTTTCCCATTAGTGAAAGACTGGAAAATGTTTCCTCCTTTGCTAGTCATAGTGAAACCTTGAAGTAGGAAAATTTATAACGCCCCATCTCCTTTGAGTCACAAACTAGAGAGAGAGAGAGAGAGAGAGGGAGAGAGAGAGAGAGAAAAGAGTCACAACTGTGGTGAGCACGCAGTCTACTGGGCACAACTCTCTTTCTTTGGCCATCATCCCCAATGGGAACACCGCCTTTTTCAAGTGCACCCCGACTCCCCTCTCCCTAAAGCCAAGGCCAGTCTCATCAGAAAGGCAATTTTGCGGGACCGGCGGGGCGGGATGGCAGAACGCAGGGACCGCCAGCCTGGCTCCATACTTGGCTGCGACAGGACGGTACTCCCGGATCCTGCCAAAAGAGGCGGCGGCAGAGCTGGCAGAGCACAGCGGGAAGCCGTGGCGGCGAAGGGGGCGGCCGTCCACGCGGCCGGAGCACTCGGGGCACACGGCATCACGCGGGCGGCGGAGACAAGAGAGGAGAAAAGCCCGGCATGGCTCTCACCTGCCCGGCGCTGGAGACAGGTGAAGGAGACGCCGTCCTCCTCCGAGAGGGTCTGGAGAGCCGGGGCAGGACCGAGGGGGCTACGGGCCGCGCCGAGCCGGGCGGAGGGCGCCCGTGGCACGCAGCTGGCCGCCCGCCCCTCGCTCCGCCAGCCACACAAAGGCACGGCGAGGCGCGCAGCCGCCGGCGAGAGGCGCCGGCTCAAGACCCGGACGGCCCAACCGCGCCGCCTTTGTCTGCCTCGCCCTGCGCCCTCCCAACCGCGGGCCCCGCCACCCGCGCCGCCCTCACCGTGCTTGTTACCCGGGTGAGTAGCGGTCTCATCTGCTCGCCAGCCCCATCCGCCTCCATGGCCGGCCAGCCAGCCAGCCCGCGGCGGCCGCTACGGTGCTACCCGCGCGGTCCGCCGCCGCTGCCGCGCGTCGGGCGCGCGAGGGGAACGACCGTGCGTCGGATCGCGGAGATAGCCGGGGCGCCGGCGAGGAGGGCCGAGGCGCGCGTGTGCGGCGGCCGGGACCGGCCCTCGCGGGTGAGCGAGGCCGCGGCGTGGAACTTGGAGAGAGGAGTGAGCAAGCGGGAGGACGCGGCGGGAGGCCGCGGCGGGAGGCGGAGGGAGCCGGGGCGGGGCGCGGGGCACTCAGGCCCGCCCCGACACGCCCCCGCGGCTCACCCCCTGCCAGTTTGGCACAGCCGGCTGCTCCGCGCGCCCGCGGCGTCGCTGTGAGGCCGCCCGGAGGGGGCGGGAGCCACGCGGACGGGCATGCGTCCCAGCCAATCGGCGACTCGCGGCGCTCCGGGTGTCCCCACACTCTCCGCTCTCGGAGGCCCCGAGGCCCGGCCCTCTCTCCTTTGTAAAAGCTTAATTGCTCGTTTTTCAGGTCGGAAGTTCCACTGACATTCAGAGGTGGAGAGGGGGTCACCACCTTCCTTGGGCTCCGTACTGTGCGTTTCACAGGCAGGGGGAGGGAGGAAGCCAATCCCTTCAAGGAGCTACTGAAAGTTTTTTTTTTCTCTCATACAGAAGGCAAAAAACTTCCCCCTCGGGCCTGTGAAAGGCCGGCTACATCCGACCAGGTATCTTCTGTGCTTCCCCCACGGACCGTGCTCCACGACATCCCCCACACTTGAGTCCACCCTGCAGGGCACTCCTCAGATATCCGCATCTGTACCTGGAGGTGAAGGTACCTGCTGCACAGGGCCATTGAACGATTAAGTGGATTTCTATCCATCTGTCAAGGTGCTTCACATGTACCATGCTTATTATTTCATTATTGTTAACAAGGTCCTCTTGATGTTTAATAAAGACAGCGAAAGGCTTAGTTGAGAAGAGCTGAGTCCAGCTATGGAAGAAGTTACGTGTATCAGAGGGTCTGAGTTCACATCCTGTCCATCTCTAGCAAGATATTCATAAAGGCCTTCACCATGAACAGATAGAGAAGGGAGGACGCTGGATGGTTCATTCGTGGTTTGGGACCTAGACCGCTTTTCTTCTGAATTTCCCATAGAGGGTACTACTAAACTGGCACATGGTCCACTAACTTGTCCAAGAGCAGATATGCTTCTATTTTATATATAGCTGCTGTTTAAGAGGCCTACAATTAGAGACTGAGGCATTTTGCAAACATGCTTTATCTCTAATCCTTTCAGTACTACAAAATATGTTTGCTGTGGTTTGATTGTGTCCACAAAAAGTACATATTGGAAACTTAAATCCCAATGCCACAGTGTTGGGAGGTGAGGTCTAGTGAGAGGGGTTTAGGTCATCCGAATGGATTAATGAGTGAAGGATGCAAATGCAATCTCTTGCTTTCTCACACTTGCTGCTTTTCCACTCTGCTTTCAACCAGAGGATGACACAGGAAGAAGGCTCTCATCAGAGGCAGCCCTCCAGCCTTAAACTTCTCAGCCTCTACAATGGTGAGAAATAAATTTCTTTTCTTTATAAATTATTCATTCTGTATTGTTCTAACAACACAAAATGGTCTAAGACAATGTTGCACCCCCATTTTACAGATGAGGAAGTGGAGGCTCACAAAAATAACAGATTTCAGCTTCTAGTAAGTGGAACTTGCTCCATTTTTCTACATATCACTAATCTCCATATAACATTCTATATAATTTATGCCTTATTTGACTTACCATTCTGGGGACACACACACACACACGTGTGTTCCATATAAGCTTCATGTGAACAATGGTTTGTCTGCTTGGCTTGCTGTTATATCCCTAGCACCTACAGGAATGTGTGGCCCTGCTAAACTTAGTGTATGTGTTCATTGAGCAAATGTATAGGTAGGGCACAACATCCATTCTTCTTAAGACCTAAGAGCATCATAGATGACAATTGAGTCAAAGTAATTATAAAAACAAAGTAAGGGAAAAAAAGTAGGAACCAAGACACTTGGTGCCAGAGTTGAATGTATCTTCATTGTCTCTTCTTATTAGTGTAAATGTCCCGGTCATTAGATAGATAGATAGGCATGCATGCTGGGCATATCTTGCTAATAATGATGGGAGGTTTTCCTCTATCCCTCTTCTAAAAAAGAAAAGAAAATGAACCCTGGGTTTATTTAATCTACAGATAGAGATATATAGAGATATAAATCTATATATACACACACTTTTTTTTTTTTGGCAATACTAGAGTTTGAACTCAGTGCTTCATGCTAGGCACTCTATCACTTGAGCCACTCTGCCAGCCCTGTTTTAACATTGGTATTTTCGAGACAGAGTCTCATGAATTATTTGCCCAGGCTGGCTTCAAACCATGATCCTCCTGGTCTCTGCCTCTCAAGTAACTAGGATTACAGGCATGAGCCACTGGCATCCAGCTACAAATATTTTTTTTTAATGATTTCTGTGCTGCCGTGCACTTTTTGCACTTCTCACTTCATCCCAGTTGCTAAAAGAATAATGTAGTAAAGGTATGAATTTTAGAATTTATTATTCTCAGTTGCCCACTTAATTCAAGCTCAGCCAAAATTCATCCTCAGGTGATGGTATAGTCACTAAGGCAAATAATATGTTTCGATTGCTTCACACAAATAGAGATGGCTATAAAGTTTTTCAAGGTGCTAAAAGGCAAATTGTCTAAAATGTGCACAAAGGTGAACGTGAACCTAAATTCATCACTAAAAATGAAGTGGCAACACCCATAATTAATGAGTTTTAGAGGTATCCTAAATGCTGGAAACTTCCTGGGTTTCTGAAACAGTAGGTAATCACAGCAGGGACTTGGCAAGATCTTCACCACAGTCTTTCTGCAAACAGTTCTCTATGAGCCAGGGCATATTTGAAAAGACAAATAGCAACTGCGTTGTTCCATCCCTGAAACTGTCCTTATCCTTGAACAAAGGTTCCTTTGACAATTCTATGTATCTTCATTTCCAGTTGTAGTCTAAATGTTCTCCGTCATCTGAAACTATAAGGATAAGATGGGGATAAGAAAAATGTTCTACCCCTGAAGGTTGGTTAATTAAATCTACAAAATAAACAGAAAGTAGATTGAAAACAGAAGAAAAAAATTTAATTACAAACATATACATAAGAGTCCCCTTAAGCATGAGACTTAGCAGGGCCCCTGTGGCTCACATCTATAATCCTCACTACTCCAGAGGCAGAGATCAGGAGGATCACAGTTCAAAGCTAGCTCAGGGAAATAGTTCAAGAGACCCTATCTCGAAAATATCCAACACAAAAACAGTGCTGTTGGAGTGGGCTCAAGTGGTAGAGTGCCTCCCTAGCAAGCATGTGGCCCTGAGTTCAAACCTCAGTACCACCAAGAAATTTTAAAAACAAAATAACCCCAGGTGATTGAAGTTGCAAACTATCCTGAACTGCTGAAGGGAACAAGAGATTGGGGCTTATGGGAGAGCGGTGGGAGGAATTGTACAGTGAGGAAAGATTGTCTTATTACACAGATAAAGAGCATCTCAGGGACTGGGTATGGTGGCCAAGCCTGTGATCTCAGGTACCAGTAGAGCAAAAATGCCAAGACTGTAACTAAGGCAAAAAAGGACTGAGGGTCTTCTGGCTCAAATAGTAGAGTACCTGTGCTGTTGTCATTGCTAAACAGAAGATCCAAATGCTTATATCTTACATGGATGCATCCAGGCAGGATGTATAGATATAGTGAGGGTAATAATAAAAATGTATTAATGGTTAAAAGAAAGAGTAACCAACAGAGTTACCATCACGGTGGGCCAGGTATGAGGCAAAATAGAGCTCTTCCTTTATCTAGGTACTTTTAAAACCTGCACTAACCTGTGAGAGGGGAAAAACCTGGGCAGTTCTTTATCACCAATAATTGGTGAGCAGGGAGGGGTTTGGGTGGTCCTCTGGCTAGGGTGGTGCTTCAGGCTAAGGTGGGGTCAGTCTGCACATATTGCTGTTGAAAGAAGCTTCAACAGCTATTAAAATTTTTTTTGCAATTGAAAGAGAGCGAGAGAATGTTTAATCTAAGAGTCCTGATCTCAGCCGGATGCTGGTGGCTCAGGCCTATAATCCTAGCTATTCAGGAGGCAGAGATCAAGAAGATCATGATTTGAAGCTGGCCCTCGGCAAATAGTTCTTGAGATCCTATCTCAAGAATACCTAACATAAAAAATAGCTGGCAGGTGGCTCAAGGGGTAGAGCACCTGCCTAGCAAGCATGAAACCCTGAGTTCAAGCCTCAGTACCACAAAAGAAAAGAAAAAAGAGTCCTGGTCTCTCCCTATTTTAGCCTGCCTCACCTGCCTAGGAAGCACAGAATTACCAAAAAAGAGTCTCAAGTAATAAAATAAAAGCTGCCTTAAAGCAACCCCAGACTTGTCTGTCTGGACATGTGGTATGTGCTGTCAATCTGTTCTATGATGCAGTCAGCCTTCCCTAGTTGAAGAGATTCCCAGGAAAGTACTCAAAACATAAAGTTCTTTTGGGGACACTCTATCTTTTTACTTTTTATTTATTCATGTATTCATATGTGCATACATTGTTTGGGCCATTTCTCCCCCTACCCCTGCCCCCTCCCACTGGGAAGACTATCTTTAAGGGAACTTCATTTTATGTTTTGCAGTGCTGGAGATAGAACCCAGCAACTTGCATGTGCTAGGCAAGTGCTCTTCCACTAAGCTACACTCTCAACCCTGGGAACTTAGGAACTTCAGAGACAGCCCCTCTCTGCACTTGATGGGAGGAAGAGGGGACAGAGGCAGGAGGACAGGAGAAAATCAGAGAGATCTTGGTTATAAGGTGATTTCTGAGGCCTTACAGTATCTTTTAATTCAAAATACTCATCATAAAGCACCATATTTGGAGGTATTATTTTCTGAGACCCAACAAAGAAAAACTAAAATCCTTGGATTACTGATTTCAGTAATACCAGCACATCCTCAATGGGAGAAACACAAAGGGAAAATGATTGAAATAATATCTGCTGTTTATGCTTATGAAAATAAGCTAGGCATAAAGATAGATTTTCAAAAAACAAAGAAAAACAGACCTGGTCCCTAATCTGATGGAATTCTGAATGGAAGACACTAACATGTAAACAAATGTCAACAATGCAATGTATGTAACTCTGATATAGTCCTGGGAACCCAAA